TTAATGGTATTTTAAGAGAAAAGTTTAGTATTAACTATACCCAGAAAAATGCCACCCCTGCTACTACATTGCCCAACACGGTTTTGGCCTAGAAGGAAGGTAGATTTTTTACCGCTATCTCTAAAGTGTTGTGGGATCTTTAGATATTCCTGTGTCTTTTAGGACCCTGCTTTTGCTAATTTGCACAGATTTTGGTCTTACATGTTGAGAGCAATTAAAGTTAAATGGAATTGGTAGGATCAGAGAGTCACTGATGGCATACAAATACAGGACCATCTTGAAAGTTCTGAAACGTTTAATTTTATTTCTGTATAGAACTGCATTTTTACTAAACAAAAGTAATGTATTTTTAACAGTGGAAATGCAAATAAAGGAGTTCCATTTTATTAGTGATAATTTTTGAAGCATAGGTATAGTGTTCCTCAGCTGATCCGAGGCACGCTGTAGACCAGTGTATTTGAGTAGGTTAGCATGTTATAATCCTAAGAAAGCAGTGGCCTGATTCTGTAACAAATATTTTAAGTGCTTATGTTTTCATTTTGAACTTTGACTATTAATGAACACTGTAGTGTTCTTACGAATAATTGTCTTGGCACTTATAGTCCTACACTGGGCACTTAGAATAATAGAAAATCCTATAGACCATTTAAACAAGTGAAACCCTAATACATAAACTAGCGTATGGTTACATTTTCACTTGTTTTCACACTTTGCAAATTTGAAAGTAACTCATGTTGGGAAAACTATTCTTCAGCTTTTCCAGTTAGTATCTGTAGATAATATAAATTTTATCTATAGATATCCCAGTTATTCATATGTACTGGTATGGTACTTTAAAACAATCTGCATTTGAAAAGTTACTCCATATATTAAATTACCCTTACAGATAAACTATGCAGTTACATTGTACTAACTAACTATAGCAACCCTGAAATGCATCATCATTGGATTATGTGAAATATTTTTTCTTTGCAATTCCATATTCATCAAACTGCTTGCTTCACACCAGGCAAAATATCATCTAGATCTTAAGTTGAAAAGGGAATTTCTGAACCTTTATGTATTTCCAGGGAGAATAAAGTATGGACTAGGTAAGAAGGTAGGGGCAGTCTAGCAATAACATCTGTCACCCACTGATTGCCAGGCTTGCTTTAGCTGATTTTCTAGTTGGGGGTGACTGCTCCTTGCTCTGTGTGCTGTCTTCATCTCTAAGAATAGTAATAAAGTGAAGCCTCGGGCCCCTTTTCCTCTCTTCCTTAAACATGAACCGGCCAAATTGTCCATTTTTCCAGCAGTTTTGGGGCACACAAGGAGTCTGTTAACACACTTTGGCTCCCCAGTTCTGACTCTGAGATTCTCCAGGGTGGGAGTTGATCGCACAGAAAGAACCTCCGTTTCCCAACCCTCCAAGGGCTGCCATTCTGCCACCAGTGCCTCCTTCTGTGTCAGTTTCCTCAATGAGAAAAGATGGGTTCATGGTTCTTGTTTCCTGGATGCTTCTGGGCTTGCTGTCCTTCTTGAATAAAAGCAAAGAGTTTGTCCAGGAATTGAAAACCTTTTAGACTCACCTGTGATTATGGTGGGAATTTCATTTCAGAACGTGTTTAACAGTTCCTTCTAGCTGGCCATAGTGATTGTATCGTGAATGGACCACTCAATTCAGAGTTTTACTTAAAAGGGGGAAGTATTGGGGATTGAGGGAATGTCTTTTTTACATATTGTTTTGGTTTTCACTGAATTGGTAATAGTTTCTGTACTTTAATTTCTTCTTGCCAGTGATGACCATTTCCTCCTGCACATGGAAGTTCTTTTCCATACAGGATTTTAGGATATTTACAAAATAGTGAGTGGCCAGAATATTGCTACAGTTCATTCGGGGTGGGGGGGGAAATATATATATATATATATATACACACACACACACACACGCACACATACACACACACAGAGAGAGAGAGAGAGAGAGAGAGAGAGAAACATCTGTCTGTTCCCTGTCAGAGTTTTAAATCTTGACATCATTTATTAAGTTAGTCCCAAATAAATTAGTCCTAGCAAGAAACCTTCATTAATCCAGTCCTTACCCACAGTGAATCTGTCATGTTCCTCACCAACCAGATGCAAAAAAATTGGCTCATCTTGAGATATTATGCATGCTCTGAGGTTGTATGCTTTAAGGTTTGCTGTTTGTGTGTGGTTAGTGAAATATAACAGACAAAATGCTCAGTGTGTGGAATTAAGATTAGATTTGGGACTTGTGGGGGACCTGTCCTAATGGTAATGAACCGGCCATGCGGTGGCCCACACCTTAGTCTTCTGTAGCCGAGTGAGTGCGTGAGCAAGTGAGACTGCAGCCGCCACGTCCCATTCTGCACTTGATGGTTCAGCCTGGCGCTCGAGTCCTGTCACACTGTTTTTAATACTAATCCTTGCTGGCATCTCATAGACATAGTTTTGAGCACTAAACCGCATTCGTGCTGCCGTCGCTACCTGACACTCATTCTTCTCGCTTGTGTCATCCACCTCCACCCGCTTGTTTATTTTTACGGTATTCTTGTGTACCCATCTTGTTTTATGCAGCATCAGCCTGCATTTCTGTTGATTTCTCATTTATGTCCTTTCCAAACATTTAATAGTTTTTATTTTAATTGTTTGTGTTTGATAGCTTGAGCCCAGGCTCTATGTTGTCTTACAAGAAATTGGGGTGATGGATAATTTCTCAAATGCAGATTGTTCTTTAAAGATTAAATTCACTTAACTTGGATGGCCCCCAAGTCAGAACAGTCATTTGCTAAGTCTTTTGGATTGATGAATGATTAATCCCAGTACCAAAAATATCAAATCAAAGCTTAGAATTGAATTTTCAAAGATTGTTCATGGATTTACATATATTGTATTTCTTATACAATATATCACATTTCTTACTGTATATATTCATATTGATAAATGGGTGGAAAGTCTTTGACCCTTGACTGCATTTATGTTAAATGTTTGTCTAGAATATGGATTTGGTTTCATTTGTATTGTAACACAATTAACCGAATGATTAACATGAAAAAAAAAGAAAACAGGAAAAAAATTAAAACAGTTCTGGGTGCTCAGCATTTTCATACATTTAAAGATCTGGCTTAATACCGGAAATAAAATCTCTGAATTGCTGTCAAGCATAAATTTTCCATTTTGAAAAATAAAGCTATTTCAGTTTAAATTGCTTTTTTAAGGCCTTTTGTCAGACTGTTTTGTTCAAGTAAATTTTTCCATCTCAAACCCTAGAGTTATATTTGACTTTCTCTGAGTAAGAACAAAATTCAGATTCCTAAATTTGGGCTCCATGCAATTCTAGTATTAACAACTCCTTGAAAACATTTGCCTCTTGGAGCTGGACTGAGCCTGTCGTTGTTAGTGATGATGGCCTGTGACGTGCGCAATGAGACCGAATGCTAATCAATGCTTTGCCTTGGCTTTCTGCTCTGTGTTGTCTTGGTGTCTGCGTCTTACCTCTGTGTCTGTGCTATTTGTTCCCTTCCCTATTCTCTAATCCTGCCCTTCCCCACCTGCCCCCTGTTCCTTTCATTGTCCTCACTGACCCATCAATCAACCAACAACGCCCCCCCTTCGTCGTGGTGCTCTGCCCTGCTCTGATTGGTGGCTTCGTTGCTTGGGTGGCTGTGTGTTATGATGGACCAGTTCACCCAAGTATGGCCTTCTTGCTGACAGGTATCATTTCTGTGAGAAGTGTTTCACAGAGATCCAGGGCGAGAATGTGACCCTGGGTGACGACCCTTCACAGCCCCAAACGTAAGTACCATCCTGTCATTTTTTCTGGGGCAGGGGAGGGTGGCCTTAAGTTGTTTTTCCCTCTTATAATTACTATAAGAGGAGCACCACTGTCATTTTTACTTTTATACAGTGTTTTTTGGATTTTTGTTTTTGAGACAGGGTCTCATTCTGTCACCTGGGTGGTTTGCAGTGGAGTGGCGCTATCTCGACTCACTGCAGCCTTGACCTTCTGGGTTCAAGCGATTCTCCTGCCTCAGCGTCTCAAGTAGCTGAGGCTACAGGTGCACCACACCCTGCTGATTTTTTGTATTTCTTGTAGAGACGAGGTCTCGCCATGTTGCCCAGGCTAGTCTCAAACTCCTAGACTAAAGCACGATCTGCCTGCCCTTTCCTTCCAAAGTGCTGGAATTACCGGGTGTAGTGTTATGGGGTTTGTTTCGTATTAACTATGCCCGCATTTAATTTGACTGTGTATACTTAGACGTTTATACTGAAAAATGTGTTTTGGCTGAACCACAATGCCACCTCTGCCTTCTTTATCATTCAGGGCAGTAGTACTGTAGCCTGCCACTGTAGATCGCTGGCCTCTCTTGACCTTGGTCTTTTCTTGTAAAATAGTTGTTTTTCGCAGCCAGGCGTGGTGGCTTACACCTGTAATCCCAGCACTTTGGGAGGCTGAGGTGGGTGGATCACCTGAGGTCAGGAGTTGAAGACCAGCCAACATGGTGAAAACCCCTTCTCTACTAAATAAAAATAAAAAATAAAAAAAATTAACCAGGCATGGTGGCAGGTACCTGTGGTCCCAGCTACTCAGGAGGCTTGAGGCAGCAGAATCCCTTGAACCCGGAAGGCAGAGGTTGCAGTGAGCCATGATTGCAACACTGCACTCCATCCTGGGCGACAAAGTAAGACTCCATCTCAAAAAAAAAAAAAAAAAAAAACTACATAAAGTAATTGCTTTTTCCTAGTGGTTGTCAACTTCCATTTTGTAGAATTACACATTTTTCTTTAATTTTTTTTTGAAATGAGGTCTCACTGTGTTTCCCAGGCTGGTCTCGAACTCTTGGCCTCAAGCAATCCTCCTGCCTTTGTCTTCTGAAGTACTGGGGCCACCTTGCCCCACCATGTAAATTTTCAGTTATACCTACTCCCATTCACAGAACTGGCAGTAGCAAAAAATTAGTTTGATATACATCCCCACTCTTTACATTTAGTTTATCTCCATTTAAACCTCAATCCTTTCAGTTGCTGAGCTCCAATGCAGATTAATGGATTCCAGTGTTCTCCAACCCCAGTTTCTGGCCAAAAATATAAATGTGTCTCCTTCCCTCACTAGTGCTTTACCTGTTGTTCATCAGCTCCAAAGTGGACAGGTGTAACTTTGTTAGTTCATTCCTGCACAGGGTTAAACTTTTCTTTCCAGTGTTTATTATCTGACAGAGTTACCTTCAAATCATAGAATGACCAGAGTAGGCTGGGTACAGTGGCTCACACCTATAATCCCAGCACTTTGAGAGGCCGAGGTGGGTGGATCACAAGGTGAAGAGATCAAGACCATCCTAACCAACATGATGAAACCCCATCTCTACGAAAAATACAAAAATTAGCTGGGCGTGGTGGCGTGCGCCTATAGTCCCAGCTACTTGGTAGGCTGAGGCAGGGGAATTGCTTAAACCCAGGAGTCAGAGGTTGCAGTGAGCCGACATCGCGCCGCTGCATTCCAGCCTGGCAACAGAGCAAGTCTCTCCCCCCTCCCCCACCACCCGCCAAAAAAAAAAAAGGTCAGTGTGTGGCAAGAAAATGCAAATGCACAAATTGTGTGATCAACTTATTTCTGTGCTTGAAATACCTAAAAGCCTGCCAGCTACCCACCGCTTCTGCCCAGGTTTGCCAGTGCTATGTGGTTCCCTCTTGTTGCCAGACTGGATTCCTCAGTCTTCTATGATTCCTACCACCCTTCCCACAGTGTGAGTTCCCCTAATTGAAAGGAAGACTTTGCCACAGAAGCGGTTTCCAGCAGTGTAGGCACTTAACGGTCTAATACCTTTTCTTTATTCAAGTGCAAAAAAAAAAAGCCTATCGACTTGTAAGAGAAACCAGAGTGACTGAAATTCTACATTTTCAATTGATTTCCATTGTCATCCTGTTTCTCTTTGTGTGATTAATAACTGGATTGTCGCCTGAGCAACATAGTGAGACCCCCATCTGTACAAAAAATGAAAAAACAGCAGAGCATGGTGGTTTGTACCTGTAGCCCCAGCTACTCAAAACTGAGGTGGGAGGACCACTTGAGCCCAGGAGTTGAGTTCAGCCTGGGCAACATAGCAAGACCTCCATCTCCACCAAAAAAATCAAAAAATTAGTCTTTTGTGGTGATACATGCCTATACTCCCAGCTACTCAGGAGGATCACTTGAGCCTAGGAGACTGGCATTGCAGTGAGCCATGATCGCACCACTGCACTGCAGCCTGGGCAACAGAGTGAGACCCTGTCTCTAAAACAAAAGAAAGAAAAGAAATGGTAGTGGAATGTGTGGGAAAAGAAATTGTAGTGTTCTGTGAAATTAAATTTTCTATTCGTTCCATCATTACATGTACTTGAAATTTTAGGGGGCCATCATTTCTTTTTGTTTGTAAACCTAGTTAGAAAATAACATTCAGGAGACCCTATAGTTTACACTCAACAGATAAATTTTAGTTAATAAAACATTTTTTCTTTTTTTAAAACAAGGACTATTTCAAAGGATCAGTTTGAAAAGAAGAAAAATGATACCTTAGACCCTGAACCGTAAGTATATAACTGTTTCTTTTTTACTTTTTTTTTTTTTTTTTTTTTTTTTTTGAGACGGGATTTCACCATGTTGGTCAGGCTGGTCTTGAACTCCCGACCTCAGGTGATCCACCCACCTTGGCCTCCAAAGTGCTTGGATTACAGGCATGAACCACCGCGCCCGGCCTCTTTTTTACTTTTAATTTTGGTTTGAAATCAGTAAAGTTACTCTTTATGGAGTGGGTTGTGGGTAAAAACATCGGAAATATGTTGCCTTAAGAGGAATTTCTGGTGTGAGTTTATCTTTTAAATATAGATTCTTTTTAAACTTAAAGTATGTCTGTCTCTGTAACATGTTCTCTAGTTACTGGATTTTGACAATGACAAGGTTAATGGATGTTTTTGTTCTATGAGAACCTCTCTTAAATAATTTGGTTATGGGTGCCTTTAAGAAGCCATTTTGTGTGAATCTTTAGAGACCAAAGGTAGGAATATTTGTTGAAATAGTACTAGTAGTATCGTTTAAAGGAAAATACCAGAACGAAAACCTCTTAGAAACTGCTTTCTCAAATAACGTGAAGCTTGGTGCATGTCAAGTACTTTTTTCAACGATGAGTGAGAGTGCTGCATTTGCTTACCTTGCCTCATAACAGCCCCTAAAGAGACTTCAGAGTTTCTTCAGTGTGATCGCCTCTTACCGGGTTCCAGTGTAAAGTTCTGGGGGCACTCCAGTTCATGGCGATACTGGCTGATTTTTGTCCCTGTGGTGAGCAGAGGCTCCAGGAGTGTTGGCTACTGGGGAAGTGTGGGCTGTGACTCAGCCAAAGCCAAGAAACAGCTTCTGCTTTCCCTGTCATGACCCTCTCACTCCAGGGAGGCAAGCGGCTAAAGTGGTAGGCACAGATTTCTACCCAGGCCACCTCTGGAAACCTAGCTTGACTTTTGGCAGGTTACTTCATCTCTACCAGCACCTTGTACACAGGACAATTATGTAAACCCTAGAGCTGTAGTCTTGGGGAGATGCCAGGGCAGAGCACCCATCCTGCTCGTGACCAGCGGATTTTTTTCTGATTTTCCACCTTTCTTTTCTTTTTTTTTTTTTTTTTTTTTTTTTTTTT